GGCTCAACAATGTTCACCAGCCTTGCACACAGGGCATCCCTCAAATGTGTACACACTTTAACAGCTGATGACTCACTTTATTTTCACTCCTTTTCACGTTTAACTGATCTGAAATAATGGGTGAAGCCAGACTAAACTTTGAACCAAGAAAATGTGTCCTAAGGTGCCACTAGACTTTTTTATGGGGTTTCATGAAAGATGAAGTTTACGGTACTAAACCAGCAACAGTCGATGAATTGAGGGCACACAAATACCAACCAAACAAACAATTCTTGATGTTTGTTTCCATTGCTTCACGTTAGCAGCAGTGCCTGAACCAGAACAGTCATCAGTTTGAAAACAGGCTCCGACAAAAAAATTATTCATTTCTGCAGATTCTTTTAAAATTTGAAAATGAACTGTGTCATTAAGCATTGACTTGATAATCTTTCATGGTGTGCGCAGTGTGGGCACCTGTGTGTCCAGTCGCAGTGCCTCAGGGCCGGACCGGCCCCACTGGGCTGCCCACTCCACCTCCTGCTGTGGTGACCGAGCCTTCATTCCGGAGACACGGCCCCTGCAGGCGCCCGCTGTCCTCGGCGCGACCATCTGGCACCTTGCCCAGCAGCCCCTCCTTCACTTGATCTCCCCTCAGATACACTGACGGGGACAAGTACGGACCGCACCTTCCCTCCCAGACGGAGGCGTGTGTAACAGCCCGACCACTGCTGTGCCCGCGAACACAAGGTAGCTGCTATCTTCACCGTGTTGAAAACCCCAGACTAGGACAATTCGTTGAACCCTTTGTTTACATAACTCTATTTTTTTGTTACCTTTTCTTTGAACCAGTCTTTATGGGAATTCGTTTGAGGTCTTCCCAGGTGGGTCCCCACCTGTGCTGAGCTGCAGTGGGTTAGACCCTGGGGCTCAGCCGAGCATCGTCCTGCAGGCAGCCCCGCTGCTCCCTCGCCTGCCTGCTCCCGGGAGCTCCCTGGCAGCCACCTGTGGCTTCAGCTCAGAAGCGCGATCTGTCCCCGGCACGTGCAGAGCTCTGCCCTGACACCTAGAAGGCCCGGAGCACACTTTCAAGGCCCCCCCCACCCCCGCCAGGTGGCTCCCGGCATCTCCTCAGAGGATCCAGCACCTCAGGACCCCTCAGCACTGTGGGTGCTCAACTTGGTATATGGACCGAAAAGAAACCATGCTCCCAGAAGTGCACCAGCACCCACACTTGCTCAACCAGGCTCCCTCCCAGAGGTGAGACACCAGGTGGCCTTCCAGGAGGCAGCGCTGAGCAAACGCCCTCGATGCAGGAACCATCCACAGGCGTCCGCAGGACCAGCCTTCCGAAACGTGGCCGCTGCAAGCACCGACTTGTCCAGGGTAAAACGGCCTGGCTCAGCAGGCCCTGCTCTCATCGGGTGAGCACACTTCAGTGAGAGGGACCCGGGCCTCCAACACCAGGGAGAACGCTCAGTCCCCAACTTCCTGGGCAACAAAGGCTTGCTCTCGCTGGGCACGGGAGCTTCCGGAACAGTCCCCAGTTCAAAACTGGACCCCCACCCCTGACCTGGAATGAGCCTGTGTTTAGCATCCACCTCTTGGAAAAACGGGAACCACTGAGTTACTAAGCTCAGACTGGAACACCTCTCAGCAGGGAGCCGGCTCTGGGACTGCTCATTCTCCAAAGGTCAACTCCGTGGCTTTCACTTGAGGCCGGGACGTGGCTGCCAGCGCGTGGCTGGTCCCGAGGCTAGGACCAAGGATGGCCACACACAGCACCGGCGAACCCGTCACCAACCACACGCCAGTCACCAAGGACGCAGTGTGACTCCATTCACAGGAGACGCCAGAGGCAGGCCCCTTCTGAGAGAAGATGAGTGATGGGGGAGGAGGGGTAAAGGCCAGTGGGATGACTTCTTGGGATAATAAAAAACGACTCAAGGTCACTAAACTACTTTAAACGGACGAATTGTATGGTCTGCAAATTAGATCTCAATAGAGCTGTTAAAAGAATTTAGTATCATTTATCGCAAGAACAGTTGTTGAATATTGGTTTCTGGGGTTTGTAGTTCTGTCCGACTTCCAGACAAGTTTAAGGAGTGGAAGTGCTTGTCCAAACTTGACGCAGGTCCCTCCAGAGCTTCTGTCGGGCACGCTCAGCACTTTATGACTTAGACCAAACCAGGAGTGAGGATTTTATAAGCTGGACCAGCACATTCAAATTTCCTGTACTGAGCAACCAGGAGGCAGACGTGGAATCAAGGGCCTTCACGAAGGGGCGCAGTGATGGGCCCGGGCCTGTGGGGACAGTGGCCTGAGGCAGCAGAGACAGCAATGTTGCCGCGCCGAGCCGCGCTGGGGTCGGGACTGGGCCGCCTTTGTCCGCCACTTCCTGCAGGCGGCTCGCGGGCACAGCAGGAACGGCGCCCCTCAACCAGCATGCACCGGAGTTATCCCCAACCACCACTGGCTGCAACACACACAGCAGAAAAAGAAAACCCGTACTCATGTGGCCTGGTTACAGTTTTATTTTCAGCTCAGAGAAATAACATTTCTAGGATGAAGTGCAAAGGAGCTGGTTTATTAACATTAATTGATCACAACACGCCACCTCTCTAGCCCCAAGGCTTGGGCAGAGTGCGGAAGGCAAGGGCAGGGCCCAGACCCGTCTGGGGTCATTCCTGCTGACCCA